CCCCGAAAACTGCCTGCATGGCTTGTTTTTTTTTAAATCATTTTATTAGGGGCTCATACAACTATTATCACAATCCATACACACATCAATTGTGCAAAGTGCATTTGAACATTCATTGCCCTCATCATTCTCAAAACATTTTCTCTCCACTTAAATCCCCGGCATTAGGTCCTCATTTTTCCCCTCCCTCCCCGCTCCCCACTCCCTCATGAGCCCTTGATAGTTTATAAATTGGTATTTTGTCATATCTTGCCCTGTCCGATGTCTCCCTTTACCCACTTTTCTGTTGTCCGTCCCCCAGGGAGGAGGTCACATATAGTTCCTTGTAACCAGTTCCCTCTTTCCTACCCACTCTCCCTCTACCCTCCCTGTTTCGCCACTCATACCACTGGTCCTGTAGGGCTCATCCGCCCTGGATTCCCTGTATTTTCAGTTCCTATCTGTACCAGTGTACATCCTCTGGTCTAGCCAGACTTGCAAGGTCGAATTCGAGTCATGGTAGTGGGAGCGGGGAGGAAACATTTAGGAACTAGAGGAAAGTTGTATTTCTCATCATTGTTACATTGCACCCTGACTGGCTCATCTCCTCCCCGAGACCCCTCTGCAAGGGGATCTCCAGTGGCCTACGGATGGGCTTTGGATCTCCACTCCGCACTCCCCCCATCATTCACTATGGTAAGATTTTTTGTTCTGATGATGCCTTATGCCTGATCCCTTCGACACCTCGTGGTTGCATAGGCTGGTGTGATACTTCTATGTGGGCTTTGTTGCTTCTGAGCTTGATGGCGCATGGCTTGTTTTTAAAACCTTTTCCTGTGAACGAGGGGAGGGTTTACAGAGCAGACCATCCTGCATCCGACAGTTCAGACTTGTACTGATGCTCAACCATTACAGTGACCTCTGGGGTCTGAAAAGCTCATGAGCGGCCATCTAAGCCACTTACCAAATTAGGATGCCGAACATTGTCTTTGTGAACTGACAATGCCAGTTGACCTCAGTGCTCAAGATCATCATCCGGATCCCAGACCCGGGGACCCACGCCTTCAAAGTGGTTCTGTCCAAGTCTTCATGACGTTGTCACCTGTATGCACGGCCGTAGTAAATGTGTATCGGAATCTTGTCAAACCTGTACGTGTGTGTACACCCCGCTATTCCTCTCCCACTTGTACGTGCCTTGGAAACTCTGTGTGGTGGGGCATCTGTTTCCTAGGGCTGACGGAATAAAATCGCCCAGGATGGGCCGCTTCAGAGAGCACGTTTTCCTCTGTCCCTGGGGGCTGTGTGGATTCCATCTGCGGGCTTGCTCCCAGCTTGGGCGGTCCTGGTGATCCTTGGTGGTGCTCTGCTGCCATCATCGTGTGGTGTCTACCTTAGCTGAACGCCCGGGTTACCAAGGGCCCAGACTCCAGCATCCTCAGACATGGCTCCCCCCGAGGTCTTACTGCTCTACCTTTAGTAGCCATACTGCTCTCGATTTCATAGTAGCCCAGTCTCTCCCTGCATCATGACAGATAAACCCCTAGGGATCAATAAGAGTAGTGATACCAGAAGGGGAAGTTGGGTAGAGAGGGGGAACTGATCAAAAGAATCTACATATAACCACCTCCCTGGGGGATGGACAACGGAAAAGTGGGTGGAGACGTCGGACAGTGTAAGACATGACAAAATAATAATTTATAAATTATCAAGTGTTCGTGAGGGGGCAGGCAGGGGAAACATGAGGAGCTGATACCAAGGGCTCAAGTAGAAAGCAAATGTTTTGAGAGTGATGATGGCAACAAATGTACAAATGTGCTTGATACAATGGATAGATGTATGATTAGAGTTGTACGAACCCCTAATAAATTTTTTTTTTTAAGTGCTGAAAAGCTTGGCCTATACACGAAAATATATGGTTATCTCCAAACAGTGGAACACCGTATCTAAGAAACTAGAGCTGATGTGGGTCAATCTAATGCAATTAATTTTATCAATCCCAATAACCCTAGAAATTGGCCTAAAAAACAAGATATTAAGAAAAGTTTTTTTGCTGGGTTGTTATTAGTAGAAGCTGCCTATTTACCGAGATATATATTATATATAGAGATAGATGGGGGGGTCCCCCCAAAACTGGTTATAGCACTGGGCAGAGCGGAGCTTTCGTAGTATGCGGTTTTTCCCACTAGGCAAGCATCCAGCAACTCGATCCGAGTTAGTGCAGCCAGCGACATCGCCTGGAAAGGTTCTCCCAGGTCACAGTGAAATTTTTCATGAAAAGTTTCACTCAAACCTCATTTTTCGTGATGGCCAATTTAAGAGATCAGCATGCGGCTGTCAAATTTTGTTTCCTGCTCAGGAAAAATGCTGCAGAAACCGTTGTTGTGATGTGGGGGAATAAGGCCAGCCCCCACAACTAATCACGGGTTCTTGTGTAAGCGCAATTGTACGGTTACGATATATAAAGATTACAGTAAAGTCATAGAGCATGAACTATAGGAGAGAGTAAAATAAAGTCAGACACATTTCATGGTAGCATGCTCATCTGGACGGCCATGATCTTACCAGCCAGGTCTGAGATGAGGTAGGAGAGAGCGGGCCAGCCAGAGACCCAGTTTATTGCTAACCAAGGGTTGTATCTACTTAAGGGGGCATGATTACAGGTAACCACAGGTCACAGGAAGGGGCTGTACAACAGGCATACAAGCAAGAGGAGGGGGATATACAATGGGCATAGGTGTAACAGGAAGAGGATGAGCTAGGGGTGTACACATGACAGGAAGGGGAGGGACTAGGGGTATACACAAGATGGGCGGAGCCTAGATTCATGATGGCGGCCTAACCTTGTTCACCCTTGAGCGGGCTTGACCTCTCCGGGTTCTCTTTCAGGGACACAATTTACTATCCTTTTCAGAAGGGAGTGGCCCCTACTTATTGTAGGATAAACAGTGGTGACTGCTTGCTCTGGATGGCTGATAACCCTAAGAATAACCCTTGACCTACTTCTGTTGACCTCCAAGTATATACATTGGCCACATGTAGCAAGCAGCTAAGTTTGGCATCTATTGGGGGAGACAACTTAGGAAAAATCTTTGTTTCCCGAGTTTGAAAATTGTTTCCAAGAATGGACTCACAGATTTGTCAAATATATTAAGTGTAGTGGAGAGTACTTTGAAGGTGCCAAAGTTGTTTTGCAAAAAAATTTGAACACATACTTTGAGAGGAAAAAGTCTATTTTGGGGGGGGTTCCCCTTGTGTATTGATTTATTTTGGGGTTACTACATACTGCTGTCGACTCTTCGTTTAAGGAGGGTGTGATTTTTCGAGGCAAGAGGAAAAGTAGCCCCACATAAGGGGCTGTAACATCCCTGCTTCAGAACTGGCACTGGGTGGTTATTAAATGCCACTTCTTCAGACCCACACAAACCAGCCCCAGGGCACTACACGGCCGACTGGTCGGCACAGCTGGGTGGTTGGAGACCACGAGGGAACCATCGGACACTCCACTTCCCAGACTTCCAACTTGGGGAGGCGCGTTCTGTCAACTGCTATTGGCACTGTTGTTATGGGGTTGAGCTCAGGTTGGCCTGGGCCCCACGGGCTGCTGAGAAGATGGAGGCATAGCCCCAGGGTCAGCCAAGTCCCCGAGAGCGACACCGTGGTCTCACAGATCTAGAAGCGGGGACATATTAAAACACGCTCAATTTATGTATTTTATAAAGCCAATATACACATTTTTATAAAGCAAGCTTTTTCCCTCCTGTTCCTCCCACAAAAAAATTGCTTCCAGGCTGGGCTGTGGAGAGGGTTAGGCCCACTGGCTATCCTGAACTTTACAGAGGAGGCTTCTAAGTACACCTCAGAGAAACCAATAGATCCCAGGGTGGGGTAATCCTACGTGTAACTGATTGCACAGCACAAGGTATTACCTTTATTTGCAACTTAATTGATCAAACTAAAAAAGCACAACTTGAAACCAAATTCTCTTTACCAGGAGTCACTGTCCTTGACACCACCTTGCTGGATGAAGGCGACACAGCACGACCACCTTGACCTTCATCTTTCGTGGCTGCTCTGCAGTGGCCTATCCGTGGAAAGAGGGGGTTCCTGTCCTGCCTAGAGCACAGCTATCCCAGGTACCAGACGCAGAGACCCATTTGTAGAAGGGCCCAGCGCCCTGCACCATAGGACTCTCTTCTCCTGCCAGGAGGGCCAGAGTACCTGTGGGGCCCTGGAGATGGTGTGCTAAGAGTGAGGAGCATGCCAGAGCCCTGAAGGTTCAGCCAGTCTCCTCGCACACTGGGGACCCGGGTGTGAGAAGTGGGCTCCAGACAAGACCTTCCACCGCTCCCGTGTGTGCACACTCCCGTGCTCACCCCCCACCCCACGCGAGACATGGACTCCGCTGTGCACCTACTCCTGCCTCACCAGACCCGCCTTTTAAAGTCACTCTCGCGGTCTTTCGGGTCCCCACCTGCAAGCCCGGGTGCATCTCAGAGAAAAACGATCACCTGGCCGGTCACGCCCACAGTAACCTGTGTCAGAAAGAGGGCATGAAGGGAAGTGGCCACAAGACAGACGCAGCTGGCAAGGCCTGGGAAGCCAAGGCTGCCCCAGCAGTCGCCTCATGTGACAGGGCTCCACACTGGCAGTCCCTGAACCCATCACCCGTGTCCTCCTCGCCGGCCGCGCTCCTTCTCCACCAGAGGCCGGGACGAGCTGCACAGGCGGGGCTGACGTCATCCTGGGCTCTGCGTCTATGTTGACCTTGGCTTATGCAGTGGAAGCATGCTTTTCTTTTTAAGGAAAGACAAAACAAAGCAAGCCACGTGTAGGTAGTCTAAAAATAAAATCCACTCAAACCCCAAAGCAAAAGAACACCACACCCCCTCCACTGAGAAAGAACGCGTGTGCACACTGCCTTGGCATCATGTGAGACGTAGTTAGGAAAGAGCCAGGTGTGAACCTGGGCAGCGAGAAGGTTCAACTCAAAACACCTGGAATGTTCCCACGCTTACATCAGGTGAAGGAAACGTTACTGTGAGAGAAATTTATTTTAAAATAGAAACATACATACATACATACATACATTAAGCTTTAAAATAATAAAGATTTTTAAACCAAAGAGCAGAAAAGCTATTTGATCCCCGAGAGTCCGTGTGGAATGAATTCAGGTGGCACCTGAAGTTCTCAGAAAGAACAGGTGGAAAAACCGAAAATCGACTGTGTGAAAGGGGCCCTGCGCCCTGGCTCCGCTGGGCCCACTCGGGGTGCGGGCGCCTGTGGTGCTGGGGGCCCTGTGAGCTGGCAGAGCTCCCTGCCTCGTGCCGGGTGGCCAAGCAGAGGGGTTCCAGACAGAGGGCACTCGGCCCTGGGACGGGCCAGGTGCGAACAGTTTGTTCCAAAGGGGACCTGGGAGAGCGACGAGGTGTGTTCAGAGGTTTTGGCAACGAAGAAGATGGTGACGTCCGGGAACCCCACCAAAGCTTCCAGAAACACTCAGTGAGCCCACAGTCTGAGAGACCCAGAGTGTGCGTGGGCGGCTGGCCAGCAGTCCAGGTGGGCGGCTCCCACAGCCTCGATGCCTAGTCAGGGTGGGGCTTGCGCTTGGGTTTGTCTTCGTAGGACTCCCCGAACTCGTTCACTCTGCTCTTATCCACGGGATAAAGCCTGCAGGGACACACGGCAGCCTGTTCCCCGCAGCACCAGCTTCGGCCACATCACACCCACCCACACTTCCCCAGGGCAGTGCCTCTAAGAGCAGGGGGCGGGGCAGGTGTGCAACACCTTGCCCATTGCTTCTCTCCTCCCACTGTCTTTGCAGCCCCGTCCAAGACGACAGGGTCCCACCCTGATGATAAATATCAAGACCCCAAGAGAAGAGCTTTAGGACCATGTGCCAAACTCAGGAGAAAGAACAGGAACCGGGCACTACCCAGATGGATAGAGGATGTGGGCAAGCCCCTGGAAGCTCTCATGAGCTGCTGAACACTAAACGACCATCTAAATCTGTAAACCCTCCTCTTCTTAAAACGTTGGAGACATGCTGGGTTTCCACTGTACCCCACTGCCGTACCCACTGGCTGCAGAGGGCCGGCTGCTCCCACGTGTGGACTGGGCAGGTGCACAGGCCTGCAGTGCTTCCGCAGAGGCACCAGGGGGCGCAGCAGGGAAGCTTCACCTCCACAGCAGGCTGCAGCAGGGCAGGCAGGCCCTGGCTCCGGGCTAGAGACCCTGGCAGGCAGCATGCATGCCCTTGGTGCCTTGCCAAGTGACTGGGGGGAGTTGGTGTGTGACCACTGATGCAGTCCCAGGGGGGGTGACTCATCACAAGGAGTGAACCAATTCAAAGAGAGCAGCGAATGCCCTGTGCATGGCAGCAGGGAGCCGACTGATGGGGCACTCACCATCTTTGGTAAAGGTAGACCAGGAAGACCACGTCGTCTCGGAAGCACGCCAGCCGGTGTGAAGTGGGCATGGTGATGATGAAGGCGAAGACGTCGTCGATGAAGGTATTGAATGCCTGCGGAGCCGGACACAGCTGCTGCAGCACCGCCACCGAAACGCACTCAGCTGGTCCCAAGGCCCCCAAAGGTGCCCACAGGAAAAGACCTGGCGATGTACATCTCACTCCCCCTACCCCCAAGACCCTCGGTCCCCAGGCGCCAGCTTTGGGGCTTGTCCGTCCAGTCTAGGAGAGCAGATGGGCAGAAGGCCCCTGGCTAGAGACCCATCACCACTTACTTTGTAGGTGAACGCCTTCCAGGGCAGATGGGCCACCGATTTCATCTGTGGAGAGAAGTCACCGGTCAGCGACCAGCCAGGGAGGGCGAGGGGAGGGAGAGGGGCAGACGGAAGCTGGCTCACCTTGTAGTTCACAAAGAGCTGGGGCAGCATGAAGAGGAAGCCGAAAGCGTACACCCCTAGAACACAGACAGGACGCGTGAGCCCGTCCACCCCCAGCTCTCCCACGAAGCAGCCCCTCAGCTCTCGCCGGCCACATCCCAGTGAGCACAGGGACACCTGGTGGTGCTGGGAGGGCAGGGAGGGTGGGGGGGAACAGACAATGTGCCGGGAGAGACACGCCGACTCACCGTTAACAAAGCTGTTGATTAACCAGGAATACCAACTGAAAGAAAAGAAAGAAACATGAGCTTCTCAAAATGCCTCCATTCACACACCAACTCTCCTGTGGTCCAGAGAAAGAAGCCCAACCACTGGGTGAGGCACAGGCAGCTGGCAGAGGCCGACACCAGGACGGCAGCACAAGGCCCAGTGAGCCTGCAGACAGTTATGCCCACAGGAGGGCAGCCAAGGGGCTCCCAGGGCAGCCCACTCTGCACATGCACTGCTGTCATCCCCGCCAAAAATGGTGAGACGGGGGCCGGAGCTGTCCCGGCTGGCCCACCCAGCAGCTTGGGCTGGCACCCAGGACAAGGCTGCTGTGGCAGAGCCTGCCCTGCATGGTGCTCCCAGCTACAGCCACCCACAACCTGGGCTCAGGACTCTGCTGCTAAGAGACAGCCCTTGGAGCCTAGCTGTGCCCCCGCGACCGTGCGCCCCAAGCCCAAAGGACAGCCCCAAGATGACTGCGGCCTGCGTAGCACAGCACAGCCACCCACCCGGCCTCCCCAAACCCATTTCCCACTGAGAAGTCTAGCAGACGGCAGGCCTTTCCAGCAGAAACCTACCTTTTGTACTTGATGTTCAGGAGGGAATATACAGCTCCCCCAATACAGAGCGGGTAGAGCAGGTACGACAGGTACTTCATGGCCTGCCAGGAGGAAACACTGTGAGTCTTTAGTCACACTCGAAGCACCACTCGCGTCCACACTGCCCACAGCACAAAAGCAAACAGACCACAGCCCTGCACTCCCAGACACAGGCGGGCAGCCTCCGACTGGCTGTGGTGACATGGCTACTCGAGTCTCTTTACTCTCAATAAGGACTGGGGAATAAGCGGACACCTGGCCAGCTCTAGCGGGCAGCCTCACAGGCAGGAGATGTCTCACTGAGTCCACCTTGAGACTCCAGCCACCCAGGCGTGTCCCATCAGGGAGCCGAGCTCCGTGCAGCCCCACCTGCACCGGGAGGCCCAGCGGCCGTCACCGGGGCCACCGAGCGGAGGATGGTCTCCGCTAGCAGGTGCTGCGCACAAGGAGGATCTTTAGTCATCCTTTCTTGCCCACATCTGAAATCTAGGGCCTGGTGAGCTCCCTAAAGGGCCGGCAGCTTGCGGGAACACGAGGCAGCCGTGCACCGCAGAAGCAGGTCTCCCTTGTCTCACCGCTAGCCCGGCCAGGCTGGGGTTCTTGCTCAGGCCCAGGGTGAGCCGTCACCACACCTGGAGAGCAGCTTCCTGCCTCCTGTACAAGGCAGCTTCTAGACATCTGTGGAAATTTCCAGATCCACAGACTTTGAAGCCCCCACCCCCGTGTACTTAAGTTACAGGATTTCCCAGGTGGCACAAGCAGTTAAGCACTTAGCTGCTGAGCTGGGGCGGGCAGTTCAAGGCCACCCAGGAACCCTGGGGCACACAGCTCTGCTGTGATGAGTCAGAGCCAGCCTACAGTCCTTGGGGAGTGGCAGCGGCGGTCCCCACCCACAGCCCCGCTCACCTGCGTGTCATACTCCTCGGTCTTGCGCTCGGACTCACTGGACGTGCCAAACTGAAAATCCAACAATAGCAAGTCAACTGCACGCACTTACTGCAGGCACGAGGCACAGATGGAGAAAGGCCGACACCTGACTGCCGGAGCAAGCCTGCACTCTGCTCGGGGAGTGCTCCCAGAGCCTGGGGAACCCCCTCGAAGCAGACAATGGGATGCCTTCCTGGAGCCAGAGGGACCTCGAGATGTGGAGCTGTGCAGCACGCTGGCTCGGGGTCATGTCACCCCACCTGCGGTGGCACCTGGGTTCCCAGCAGGGCCTTCATGTGTGCGTGTTACTGACCCAAGCTGCCTTGACAGCTCCCCCCGTGAGCGCCTCACAGTGGAAACGGCTACAGACATCGTTCCCCATTAGACAGCGTGTTAAGCAAGCTCAGTAACGGTGAGCGAGGTTACCGGGCCAGCCAAGGTCCTACTCTCTGAACCCTGAGGTCCCAACTCCATGGAGCTCACCGCAGGAAGCAGAATGTTTCACGCATGACTAAAAATTTCCACGGTCTGAGAGGGAGATCTACTACAAGTGAACTCTTCCCCCAACCCCACTGTGAAGACCTGGACTAAACGGACCAGCTCGTGGCAGGTTCCATGAGCCCCGCAGCAGACCCCGAGCTCTGTATGCCCGAGTAACCCCCACCACACCCTACCCCAACCCCACACTGCTCTGCATACTGGGGGTAACCCCCAACCCCAGTGAGCTGAGGCCTACTGGGCCTGCAGACTCGACACATGCACGCACGGCAGGGACAGAGCAGCAGGGAGCAGAGGGGACAGATGGATGCAGACGGAGGGGGCAGGGCGCCGTCATTTCAACAGCAGTCCTACCTGAAGCTCAGGCCTGAGGCCCCTCCAGGTGACGGTCATCTTCAGGGCTTTTTTCACTTTCCACAGCTGAGGAGAGAACGAGGTTCTGAGGGAAAGCCCTGAGCAGGATTCCCAGGCCCCGGCTGTCCTCAGTCTGGTCTACGTTCAGCCCACTCGTCCCCTTCAGACAGGCCTGATGCTGCCCGGACCTCAGCGGGCCTGGCTCGGCCATCACCTCGGGGGAAGCGCCGCCCGGCCTCTCACAGCCTCACCTACCCTTCCAGCTGCATCGCTGACTGCCGTTGGGGTCACATGGAGACACGTACCCCACATGCTAGTGCTCTCAGTGCTGTTGCAGGCTTCGGCGGACCCCCTGGAAACCGCTGTCCCTGCTCCCTGTTCAAGGCCCCCCCACTGGGGTGAAACCACGTGACCCCAAGAGGGTCCTGCCATGACTGGACCTCTCGGACCTCTCCGCTCAGCCCATGAGCTCTGGGTTAGAATGCCAGCCGGTGCCCAGAAGGCAACACACCCAGTGCAACAAGGGGGCACCCGCCCCTCAGAGACCCTCGCCATCAGCACAGAGGAGCCTGGGGAAGCACCCCGACGATGACGAGGGACAGAATGCGTCATGGGGTGCTGGGGCCCTGGACACACTCACCTCGATGGCCGCCCCGACACCGGCCGGGACCAGCACCAGCAGACTCGTCTGCTCGTCCAGGAGGAAAAGGAAGATGACCACGGTGCTGAAGCAGCGCCAGAGCACTGGGGGGAGGAGGGCGAGCAGAGTGCACGTGAGTCATCCTGGCCAGGCTCGGCCTCCTCGCTCACAAGCACCCGCAACACACCCATGAGGGGTCAGCCCACCACGAGGTGCCTCGAAAGAGGAGCCTGGGGACACAGACCCTGGGTCGCAGAGCTCCCCGGCACCAGAGGCCATGCCGGGGCTTCAACGGGTCACAGAGCACGTGTGCTGTACAATGCAGGGTCTCTCGGGGAAACCACCGAGTCCGAGGGCAAAACACCTACGGCACCTGGGGCCCATGGCCGCCCTCCCCTTGTTCAGCTTGTTCTCTGCAGGATGCTCTGAGGAAGGCAGGGCTGGGTCTGCCTGGGGGAGTCCCCAGGGACTCGGAGTGAAGAACCCAGAACCTTGACCCTGAGCACAGCTGACTCACCCTCACCCCACACCCACCCTGGCTCTCAAGTGCTCAGAGTAGTCAGGACCCCCAGTTCCTCCTGCCCCTAAACCAAAGAAGACGGCCAGCCTCTGTGGACATGTGAGCAACCTGGGAGGGAGGGACCCTCCCTTCGGCAGAGGCTCAGGAGTACGCTGGGGAAACAGACCGAGCAAAAGGGCAACTGCAGAGAGGGATGGGGTGGGGGGATGCTCCAGGTAGGGAGCAAAGGAGGGACAACCAGGAAAGGGAGGGCAACCCATGCTGAGGTGGGACTGGTGACGGCATCAAGGGAGGCAAGACGCCAAATCCCAGTCTTCAACAGCCCCCCAAGCATTTGGGACCTCAACTCTACCTGACCAGACCCATAGACCCCACACACTGCAGGCTCTTGACCCTACATATCCCACATACACTACAGCTCTACCTGATCAGACCCAGACCCCACACACTGCAGGCTCTTGACCCTACATATCCCACATACACTACAGCTCTACCTGATCAGACCCACGGGCCCCACACAACTACAGGTCCTGGCGGGTGGGCTGGAGTGGGGTCCGTCCTCTACGGACCCTGGCTATCCAGAGGCCAGATTTCCCAGCGGCCTGCCAGGACGGGGAGCAGCTGTCAGCTATGACACAGGGCGTCAGGAAGGGCCTGAGGCACCAGGGCAGGGCCCGCGTCTGTAAGCAGTCACGTCAGCCACAATCCCATGCTCTGAGCACCATGGGGTCCAACTCAGTCACTTCAGCGAAGTGGCCAGTGTGTGCAGGGCGCCCACCTGCTTTGGTGGACATTCCGATCATACTCTTCTTCTTCTTCCAGAAGCTGATGTCGTTTTTAAACGCCAGGAAATCAAAGAGGAGCTGGAAGGAAGATGTCACAGAAACTGACAGGCAGCCACCTTCAGTGACCAGGAGCAGCACATACACCCTAGCAGCTCCGGGCAGCCTCCAACCTGTCGGGCAAAGCACTCAGAGGCCCAAGAATGCCTGATGCTGCTGTGCCCCTGGGCCCTTTGGCACTAGCAGCGTCATCCTCAAGCTTGCTCCTACAGACGTAGACCATACAGTGGTGATGGCACTAAGTACTTGCCTACGAAGCACCCAAACAGCTGGTAGATCCGCCATCCCTCCCATGCAGATGACGCCCTGGACAGCCAGGGGCAGCCCTGCCTGGTGCCACCCGGCTGCTGTGAGCTGGAATAGGCTCACTGCGGCAGCAGCAGCTTGGCAGTGGTCACGTGCAGATGTCAGCTGTGGTTTTAAAACGAAGCCCACCTAACGTGAGCCCCAACCTGCCCGAGAGGTCTACAATATAGCCATTATCAGGAGCTATCTGTCTCCTACAGCTTTGAGTGACAGCCCGCTCCCAGCCCGCCAGAAAGAAAAAAAAAAGCAACGAAGAGTGTAGGTCTGTTTCCACCTGGAACCAGCACACTAGTTCATATGACGTCATGATTGCATGGCTAAGTCACATGCTAGGGGGTTCAGGAGGCTGGAGAACATTCCCATGGTTGTCTAACTCCACGTTCCCATGAACTCTCTGGATAGGGATTACAGTACTCTCACCATGCATGTTACTAGAAGGCTCTAGGACCTCCTCCCACCAAACCACCTTCCTGAATGCACACTAAGCCCAAGTCACTGAAGCTGACACCGGGTTTCAGGGGCCCAGGCCTTCACGTGGCCCACCGCATCCCCACCCCTGCCCTGCCTGAGCCATGTGGCCGTGCAGTGCTCCCCAAACTGCTCAAATAAACTAACCTCAACGGAGGCTTCCCTGCCCCACCCCTGACCCCAGCAGCAGGCGGGGAGGCCCACTCACGTGAAAGGCTGCAACAAAGAAGGTCAGCGCTAAGAAATACAGGTTGGTGTCAACGAAGATGCCCTTGACCTCATCTGCGTCTTTCTCGGAGAAGCCTGCAGAGGAAAAGAAGGCAGGTGATTCCGACATCACACACAGCAAGTAGGATGCAGACAGCCAGGCCGCTTGGTCCAGAGTGAAACGTCTATGTGATGGAAGTTGTGGAGCTTCGGCAATCACGCTTTCCAGGTGGCACAGGGAGATGGGAGGCCGATGGTCCGGATGAGAATTCCGGGGGGCGGCTGCACAGAGGGTATAGGGATCGGGAGGGAGCAGGCCAGACGGAGCCCTCCCAGGTAACCGGGAGCCCGAGGTGGCCCACGCATCAGGGGCAGGACGCACCAAACTGCTGCAGGGAGTACACGGCGTCCTGCATGTGGATCCAGAAGCGGAGCTTCCCCAGCGAGATCTTGTCGTAGGAGACAGTCAGCGGCAGCTCCGTAGTGGAGCGGTTGATGACCTACGGTGAAGCACACGCTCACCAGTAACTGCCATCGCCCGTTCCTGAAGCCAGCCCCGGGAACCTCTCGAGGACAGCTGTGTCGTCTCACTGCCCCTGGGTGGCCCTGGGCCGAGGGCCAGTCTATTCTCATCGCCGAGGGAGATGACTTTACGTGTCCATCACACTCAGACCTAAGTCAGCCAGCATCCCCGCTTAGTACCCTGTCCCACTGTCACTTCACAGGGCAGGGGCCACCTCCCTAAAGCGCACAGCTTCCCTAGCCTCATTCCGGCCCAGAGCCAGGACCTGAAGGGGACAGTGAGGTCCCGGGCGTCCCAGGTAGGATGCGGGACCAATGACCTCAGCCCTGCCCTGCCCTTCAGTGGGGTCCTGCTGTTACAGTGTTGGGCAGCTTCTAGATGAAGGAAACCAGGAAGAAAGGCCTGGAGTCCAGCCTCCAAAACCCAGCCAACAAAAATTCCAGCGATCACTACAGTCCCATCTGGAATCACTTCCTGGGATGGCTGGGCTGAGCCAGCCTGCCTTCCACCTACAAAACTATAGCCACCTCTTCCCCCGCCCCCGTCAAAGAGGGATGGGCACAGGAGCACGGCATCATGCGGCTGGCCACAGCCTGTTTGTGAAGGGCTGTCAAGTTTTAACCTGCTTCACTGTCCACGCTGCAGTTCACAGCACCCTGACAAGCAGTGGCCACCATGGGATAGGAACGGTCACTCTACCACCGCCTACCCCATCCTCACCCTCAGACTGCCCACCTTCCAGGCCCCGCCCCGGGGCAGCAAGCCGGGATTCAAGCTCCTGCTGTACAAACCCACTCCCTTTGTCCAGGGCGCTTGGAATAACCCACATGGACACACCACAACACCTCTTCCAAGAACCCTCCGAATCCCGCCGCCAGAGGCAGCGAGCGAGTGGTAGGCGGACCTGGAGGCACTGGGTCAGCCAGCCAGAAAGCCCAGCTCGGCCTCTCACCCTGGGGAAGACCTTGGCAACCCAGGGCTTACCATCAGATCCTTGACACGACTGCTCAGCTGGTCGATGAAGAGGATGGGGAGATAGTGGACTGTTGACCCTAACTGTATCCTGCAGCAATGAGACACAAACAAATTGTCACTTTCTGACAATTGACTGCCTACGGCCCCCTGAACCCAGGTTCACCTCGAGGAACCCCAAGTCCCACCTGTCCACTGTGAACCACACACACTTAATTGTAAGACTCGGCCTGGCTCACTCAACTGCTGTAGCAGAGCTGGGCATAGTGAACAGTCAGGCCACTGCAGTGGGAAAATCGCCGTTTAAAGCGCAGAGCACGAGGGCTAACTAGCCTGCGCTGCTGTGGGATGTCACTGAAGGCGGCGGCAGCAGCAGAGATGGAAGCACACACTGCACTAGGCAAGGCTGCTGCCCAAGACCTCCCCAGAGTGCTGAGAAACCTGGACGTGGCTCAGGACCCAAACTCTGGCATTTGCAGTCACCTCATACGCGTGTGAAAGACTGACAATGAGCAAGGAACCGATGCAACTGGATGAGGGGCTGGTAAGGAATACTGAGCGTACCACGGACTGCTAAAGAACCAAGAGATGGCTCAGGAGAAATACATCCAGTGTCCCTCCGAGTGAGACAGATGCTTATTCTGGACACGTCATCAGGAGAGACCAACCAAAACCATTCAGCTTAAGACTCCCCATAGGCTGGGAGACACAGGGTAATTTAAGTTAGTCCAACATCTGCATTTTTATAGTTAAGTTTAACGAGTGACAAGTGACTATACAATAAAAAATCTAGAGACAAAAAAAGTTTTAGTATAAAGTTTAGAGGAGACAGCCCGAGGGTGGGGAGGATGGGGACAGGGACTGATGATTTGAGCCAATGGGCACTTTCCTTCTTCACTTTCACTACCACGGAGCAAAGGGTACATACACATCCTCCACCCGTCCTTCCTTTGCCCCAGTTCTTCTGTGGCGACTTCCATTAGACCAAGTCGTCCCTGTGTCAGCACCACCACTCGCCCACCCCCTCTGCTCTGGCACGGCCTGCAGCAGCTGCATCTCATCCCAGCCACCTCTGGATCGGGCCGCAGGAGCTCCTGCTCCACCCGGAGAAGACCCGCCCCTGGTGCTCAGCACAGGAACTTCTAAGAGGATGCTCAAGGCCTGGCCACCTAACCGCGCGCAGAACCTCCAGGCCCACGAGGGGCCACCCCCCAGGCCACCTACATCTTCATGTAGCGATGCACGTCGGCGGGCAGGGAGGACCCGTCAAAGACGAAGTCTTCCACCATCACGTTCAGCGTCAGCCTGGGCCGCCAGTGGGAGACAGGCTCATCCAAGGCACTGGTCGGCTTCTTCTCCGCCTCGATTTGCTGTCACCAAAGAGAAATGGCTTCTTAGGAACGAAGAAGAGGCCATCGTCGGGAAGGACACGCCCCGGCCACAACCCACGAGGGCAGGGTGGTACTGCTCCCTGCACAGTGCTTGCTGTGATCAGGGTCCCTGCTGGGAACCCTCAGCCCTCGCAGGCCCACCTCACAAACCCCGTAGCGTGGAAAGGAGCCTGGAGCAGCACAACAGCTAGAGCCCTTGGCAATTGGAACCAGGCGGCCTCTCAGCGAGAGGACAAAGCAGTCTGCTTCCGTGAAGATTCATAGGGGGCTTCTAAAAGGTGGTGGTGAGAATGGAATCTCCCCCGAACTTTTTGGAGCCCCCGGAGAGTTCTACTCTGCCCTAGGGTCAGAACTGGCAGCCAGCCGTGGTGTGGCAGAAGACATGGGTCACTAACGCACAGATGGCTTCTTTTCCCGACATCCCCTCAGCACTGACCTGCGTGGTCGACTCGCCAGTGAGGAGGTTGATTTCTTCCGGTTTGGGGACCATGTAGGTGGTGAGAGGGCTGACCAGGTGCACCTGCTTCCCGTCGTGCCATGGCAGGACCCCCGCGTGATGGAGGAAAATGTAAGCGTACAGCGTCCCATTGTTTCTCGTCTTCTTGGGTACAGAAACATTCACGGTCCTGAAACCAGCCCAGTGACAACATCTGTCACACGAGTGGCAGTGCCGTCGGTCCATGAGGCTTCGTGGGGCACCCGAAGGAAACCCACCTGCCCCGGCTTCCTGGAAGGGCTCAGGGACACTCAGGGCCATGGTTTCTGTGGCAAACTCACCAGGCAGTTTCAGAGACCAGAGGCCCAGCCACCTGGCCAAGGGATGCAACCCCCACCTTACCCCCGCCGCCCTGGGGCTGCGGTCACACAGGGGAAATGCTCACATTGATAGTGAGGGGCTTGTTGGGGTTTCGCTGTTTTAAATTAAAAGGAAAGAACGAAAGAAGCTAACAGGCCTCGCTTGGTGCCTGCTGCTTGAATGAGCACCACGGGACAGACAGAGCAGAAACGGAGCAGGTGGGCCTATCCTGCACACTCCTCCCCACCCCCACACCGGCTCCAGTGAGTTAGAAAGTTCCTGGAAGTGCGGCTCCTGAAGACGGTGGCAGCTGTTCCAGGACAGTGCCTCTGGGCCCCGGCTGAGAGAGGGCGGGAAGGCCCCACTACTCAGGACCTCCTCTCCCCACCCCCCTCCCCCTGAAAAACCTGCTCTCTGGAGGCTGCGGGACCACACCTAACACTTTCCAAATGGCCCTGAGGTCATCAGAAGCTCAAACATCAGCTGCTGGCCCAGGTTCCCGAACTAAGGTAGCCCAGCAGAGACTGGCTGTGTGGGGAGCTGGCGGCAGCACAGAGCCAAGTGTTCTGACTGCTGCCTCGCCTGGGACCTCCCAGGGTACACAACTGCAGACACCTTCATCAAACAAACACACCAAATTGGGAAGCTCCCCTTTGGGGCATAGTGTCTATCTAGGGTGCAGGCCGAGGCTGGGGCCGCGCTGCCCTCCCCATGCTCCCTCCACACCACATCTAAGCGGCAATGGCGGTGTCCTCTGGGGAGTCCCACGATGTTCCTTTCAAATGGTTTTCCAGTGTGGGGGACGCAAAGAAGTCTGAAGGGCGGCAGGGTGCATGATGTCTGAGGTCTCCCAACAAAAATTTCACAGGACAGTCCCTGCTACCCTCAAAGAATGAACAGGTACACTGAGGTCATGGGAAACATTTTTCTCAGTGCAGCTTTGTTTTTTTCCCTTAATCGGTGTGCTTTCTAATTTTCTTGAAAAGTCTTCACAATAAGCCCCGTGAACACCAAGATGAGCCCCGATGAGTGAAAAGTCACTGTGACGTTCTGAGCTGGCTCCCCTGCCTTGAATGGACCTGGCCCAGCAGATGCTTACAGAAGCCACTGCTTCGCCTGGACTCCTTCTCCAAGGGCAGGCCTGGGAGAGCCTATCTGCAGCCACCTGCTGGTCCCACAGGCCGGTGTAAACCCATCTGGTTTGGAATTGACCCGTGTGGGTCTGAAGCCCTAGCAGCAGCAATTTTGGGGCCTCCCTCCCCTTGTATTCAGAAAGCCTTTCTACCATCTGACCTACTCTAAGAGTCCTGGTGGTTCAATGGTCATAAATCGGCTGCTAACTGCAAGGTCAGCAACTCGAAACCACTAGCCCCTCTTTGGGAGAGAGATGAGGCTTTCAACTCTGTCAAGAGTTAGTCTCGGGGGCAATGAATGTACAAATGTGCTTTACACATTGATGTATATAGGGATTGTGATAAAAGAGTCATATGAGCACCTAATAAAATGGGGGGGAGGGGGGGAGAAGAGTCTGGGAAACCCACTAGGGCAACTCTACGGTGCCCTTTACAGTCACCAGGAGTCAGATTCGATGGCACGAGCGATCAACTCTCACTAAGAGCTACAGTGTCGGAGACTTCCAGGGGCAGTTCCACCCTGTGCTTCACGGTGGCTGCGTCAGCATCGACTCCAGGCAGAGAGTTGTTTGTTTCTGAGACACACGCCGACACACGCCGAGGCAGCATGTCACTCACTCCTAGTTTCCTGTCCCGGCTCTTCCTTCCACTCCAACCTGGTCCCTCTCACACGTGATAAGCGGAAACTTCAGGGTGGGGATGGGGTGTTGCTTAGCGGACAGCACAGCAGGGACACATAATGTCATTCCCTTCCTGGTGCCTGTTCTTTGGGCTGCTGGGAGTCACACTGCAATCCACTCTACTTTTCTGATCCCAGCCCCACCCACCCCCAGCACGAACAGTGTGTTCCGTCATGGCCATGTCCCCAATGACAAACTCATCACCTGCTCCTTGCGGCACACAGTTAACATCTGCTGCCCTTGGCCAGACCATGCAGCCGGTCATACAGCTTTTCCAAAAGAAACTCAGAATGCCCAGTAACAACGGCAACAGTGGTCCCCTGTGCTCAACTGACCAGGAGCGCTGCTGAATCAGTACCTCTCAAACTTGGACTCCACGTCGAAGTCTTCCACGTTCAGCACCAGGTCGACGTTGTTCTCTGCACCAAGGTTGGAGCGCGTGGTGGTGTACACACTGAGCTGGGGAGGGAGGAGGAGGTGCTAGTCAAGTTGGGCAGTCACCCCGAGGACACAATGACCAGCTACCAAGTGGGAAACGGTTTGCTTTCCAGCTCCCGACCAGCGATGGTATAAGGAGGCAGCACACAGGGACACCAGGCACTGGGTCTGGGGTGCCTGAAGCCTGAGCCAGGGCAGAGTTCACACAGGGTATTTTGGAAACGGGTTTCTGGGAAGACTCCCAGCCCGGTCCTGGGGTCCCTGCCCACTGGAGGGGAGCTTTAATCCAAACATGGGGTTGCAGCCCTGCATGGAGGAGGAACCCAACCTAGTTTGGGGGTTATTACTCTGGGGAGGGGATCCCCTTGTCTCCCAAGAGGCTCCCTAACCAGCTCAGGGGAGCAGAGGCCCACTTCCAGGGTAATGGCTCAGGCAGAGAAAGACCCAGCTCCAGCCGCAGCAGCAGCCCAGGGGTCACGGGTGGGGCGGGGGTCCCAGTTCAGTCCCGGAGTAATGGCGTAGCGGAGGAAGTCCCAGCCCCCGGGGGTGGGTTTAGGAAGCGGGCCGAGGCGGCCGGGGCTCACCTGCAGCTTGGGCCTCCGCGCCAGGTACGGCTGGATGCAGTTGCCGTCCTGGGCGCACGGACGCGTGTAGACGATGCCGTACATGACCCAGCAGGTGTGCACCACGTACACCACGAACACGCCCACCACCAGGCTGGTGAAGGAGCTGCGGCCGCTCCACATGGCGGC